CATTTTGCTATTCACTTTCGCTATGCGACTGGGGGTTTTTAACTGGGGTACTGACTTACTTAAAGTAGGCTGAGGGGTTTGCTTTTTTACTAAAAACAGAGGTTTTTGTAGAGATGTAAAATTTATATATACCAAAATCACTTGTTTTCTTCTATATAAATAGGAGAATCAGCTTAATAATAAAAGAAATTAGAGTAAAACGCCTAGAAAGGAAAATTGGTTAAAAATCAAGAAGAAATCTTAATTAATTTTGAAATATACTAACAACTTTCTATTTTTAGATTATTATTATTTTTAACATAAGATAGCAAGCAAGCAATCAATCAATATAAACAGTATCTTTTAAAAATTTTATATATTTTATAAATCATCTAAAATAACCATTTTTTATGCTAAAATAAATTAGCATAGTCACTTTCTTTCTTCAAAATAAATAGGAAAATTAGCTTAATAATAAAAGAAATTAGAGTAAAACGTCACGAGAGGAAAATTGGTTAAAAATCAAGAAGAAATCTTAATTAATTTTGAAATATACTAATAACTTTCTATTTTTAGATTATTGTTTTTAACAAATAAGATAGCAATCAATATAAACAGTATCTTTTAAAATTTTTTATATATTTTATAAATCATCCAAAATAACCATTTTTTATGCTAAAATAAATTAACATAGTCACTTTGTTTCTTCAAAATAAATAGGAAAATTAGCTGAATAATAAAAGAAATTAGAGTAAAACGCCTAGAGAGGAAAATTGGTTAAAATCAAGAAGAAATCTTAATTAATTTTGAAATATACTAACAACTTACTATTTGTAGATTATTATTTTTAACAAATAAGATAGCAATCAATATAAACAGTATCTTTTAAAATTTATAATATATTTTATAAATCATCCAAAGTAACCATTTTTATGCTAAAATAAATTAGCATATTCACTTTGTTTCTTCTATAAAAATAAGAGAATCAGCTTAATAATAAAAGAAATTTGAGTAAAACGTCACGAGAGGAAAATTGGTTAAAAACCAAGAAGAAATCTTAATTAATTTTGAAATATACGAACAACTTTCTATTTTAAATTATTATTTTTAACAAATAACATAGCAAGCAAGCAATCAATATAAACATTATCTATTAAAATTTTTTATATTTTTTATAAATCATCTAAAATAACCATTTTTTATGCTAAAATAAATTAACAAATTCACTTTTTTTCTTCAAAATAAATAGGAAAATTAGCTTAATAATAAAAGAAATTAGAGTAAAACGTCAAGAGAGGAAAATTGGTTAAAAATCAAGAAGAAATCCTAATTAATTTTGAAATATACTAACAACTTTCTATTTTTAGATTATTATTTTTAACAAATAAGATAGTAAGCAAAATTAAACAGTATCTTTTAAAATTTTTAATATATTTTATCAATCTTCCAAAAAAACCATTTTTTAATGCTAAAATAAATTAACATATTCACTTTATTTCTTTTATAAAAATAGGAGAATCAGCTTAATAATAAAAGAAGTTTGATTAAATCGCCTCTAAAGGAAAATTGGTTAAAAATCAAGAAGAAATCTTAATTAATTTTCAAATATACTAACAACTTTCTATTTTTAAATTTTTATTTTTAACAAATAAGATGGTAAGCAAAATTAAACAGTATCTTTTAAAATTTTTAATATATTTTATCAATCATCCAAAATAACCATTTTTTATGCTAAAATAAATTAATTAAGTCACTTTATTTCTTCAAAATAAAAAGGAAAATTAGCTTTATTATAAAAGAAATTAGAGTTATTTAAATATACAAATAACTTTACTTTTTATTACATAAAATAGAGTAAAAGGAAAAACAGACTAAAAGTCCTATTAATTAATTAATATTGTTATTAAATCAATGAATTGTATAGTTTTTATGAAAGTATATTTTTTGTTTGTTAATTTTATCTAATAAAAGATCCTATCCATTAATCTTAAAATATATTTTTAAAGTGATGTCTGTTTGTACTACGCAATGACAGAACCAAATGATTTTCCCAAATGCAAATATCTCCACTTTATAGACAGATTTTGTAATGAAAAATTTAAATATGGGATCAAAACTTTTGTTCAATTTTTACTGGCTCAAAATTTGATAGGTTTTACTGTAACTTTTTGCGATCATAATTTAATATAGAGTAAAAGCAAAAACACTAAAGATCTTTAAAGATATTAATTTTGATTTTTTAAAAGATTATTCTTATCAGAATATCTTTTCAATTAATCAAAGTGCCTACTCACTTATCTACAAATATACTAATATCTTTTTTATTTATAGCTAATTAATAACAGTTAAACTAAATATCTATAATGATATTATCTATTACATTTATATAATAGAATCGCTATCTAATACAAATTAAAATATTTTCTATTTTACTCTAAACAAAAAAAATTCCAAACTAAAATGACTTTTAAAATAAAATAAATAATTCTAATTATTTTATTAGTAGCAATAAATTAGTTTTATTTTAAAAGTTAAAACTAATTTTTGATGAAATATTTTATTTATTTATAAAATAGACTCATATTTTTTTACTTAAAAATAATATAAATATTTTTATAGTTTTAACTGTCAATTAAATATGGTATAAATTATCATTAGTACTTGGTGTTAATTTATAAGGAATGATCATTTAGATTAATAGTAAAAAAAATTATTATTTAAAAGAAGTCTTTAAAATTATATAATATTCGGTTAATTCTTCCCATTAGTTAAATGTTTCGAAAATACTTCTGTAGCCTTCTTATTAAAATTGCCTATTGCAAAGATATTCTTAAAGTATTTATTGTCATTTATTTAAAAAAATCTTAATTATCCATCTTTACTTAAATTCCTTAAGGAGGGGGGCGGGGGTACGAAAAAAAGTTTTTTTAGGTAGCATAGCAAGGTTTTTGTATTTTTATTTAATAATAAACCGATTATTATTCAATATTATAACCTCCTGCCAAATAGTAACAAAAATTTCATACAAAAGAGTTAATATATTTGATCAGTACATAATTGATTTATCTAAGATCAATTACTTAATTGAAAAAAATACTTATAAAGAAATTATGATTGATTTAAACATTAATTTTTGATTAAATTTTGCAATTTTGTATGATAAGAATAGATTTCTTATTAATTTTATTAGCAAGTAAATTCTAACTATTTTATTTATTATTTTTTGATCTATTTTGTATTATTTTATTATTATTAATTAATCTCTCATTTCTATACCAAAATATTGCAATCTTTAGTGAATTAATTTAATAAACTGAGACAAAACCTCAATAATTATTCATTCATTTAAACTAAAGACTATTTATCTTTAAAGGCTTCATTAAATTAATAATCAAAGACAAAAAGTATAAAAAGCAGTATTAGGAAAAAAATGAGAGTAAAATAAATAAGATTAAAAGCTAAAAATTTAAATAAATAGACTAAGCTTATTTTAAAGTAAAAAAAGAGTATAAATGTGTTGAAAACCATATAGAGTTTCAAAAAAATTCCTTTTATTTAAGTGTAAAAAGAAGTTATAAGTAGTCATATTTTTCACCATCTACATGCATTTAATTATGATGAAACTATCAAGCGTTTATTAAAGATGAATCTATAGGTTGTAATATTATCTAAAGATATTTAAAAATATTTAGATCTTTCTTCTTTCCAAGAGAAAAGCTAATCACAAAAGAGTTAGATTACAAAGAAGTTAAGGAGGTTTACTCAAAAAAAAAATCTCCTCATATTATGGTAGATATAGTAGAAAAGTATTAAGAATATTTTGCTCTCAAATACCTCTAAAATGGATGGCATATTTAAAAAAGGGTTTTATTAAATAGCTTGAGAGATAAAATTTGTCAATCTTATTAAAAAAAAGCGTCTTCAGGATAACCATCTCGTTTATTCCAATCAAAAATAGCAGAAAAGAGTGAAAAAAGCAACCAAGAAAAAGCACAAAATGAATAGAATCCTTAGAAACAGTTTTAACTTTCAAAAGGTTAAGCTACTTATCTAAATGATAAACAAAAAAAATGTAAAGCAGAATGGATTTCTTTGCCTAATAGCGATTCATTTTAGAATGATTAAAAGGAATATTTCAGAAAGAAAAGTGGATGTTAGTATTAATGTATTGAAAAAGTAGAACTTTTTATAGATTAAAAGTCATAAAAATAACAATAAGACCATGGAAACAATTGCAAATTCTATTCAAAAATAAAAGAAATATTAAACATCTAAATAGATTAATAAAAAGGAAAATATTTAAATAATAATATTAACAAAGCAAATTATTAAACTAATATTTCTTTAACTTAGATTTAAAGACAGAACTTGCTTAATTTAATTAAGAAAAATCAAATAAAGAAATTCAATAAAAAATTAACTTATATCGCTGAAAATTAATTGGGTTTTCCTTAATTCAGATTAAAAATTGAAAAGTCAATTAGTGGAAAAGATAAATTATTTGAAGAAAAAACATAACAAACTCCAAATGCAAACATTAAATTTAGAAATTAGAAGAATTTTTACTTCTCAGTTAATAAAGTAAAAAATAAATTCGTTGAATAATCTTGGTAAAACTTATTAAGCTAGATATAAAAACAAAATTTGATGAGAATTGATTCACATGAATAATAAATCAATAAATATACTGAAACTCAATAAAATGTTTGCTCTTTAAAATTTGATAATAAGTAGCTTAAAGTATTAAAAGTATTAAAACTCGAAATAGATAGTTAATACTTGAAATATAAAGAAAATAACTAATGTCAAGATTTATATAAATAAGCTTAGAAGAATAGAATTTTAGGAGGAGGAGGAGTCTGTGGCAGTAAACAAAAAGTAATTGCTGTGGAACCAGCTTCATATTAACAAATAAGAAAAGAAATCAAACACAAAAGTACAAAAATTTAAAACTAAGATGATAGAATGAAGGAAGAATAACGAATTAATAAAAAGTTTGAAAAATTTAATAAATCATATAATGAATTTTTTACCATCAAAGAAGAGAGTGATGTAGAAGAAAGCTTAAATGTCTTAGAAACTGAAGTAAGATAGATAATAGAAAAAACTTTATATGATTTCAGAGAGTAAATAGTTTTGTAAGAAATTAGACCAAAAGTCATAGACATGATAAATTTACTAATTAACTATTTTCTTATTATTAAATAAAACGATTCTAAGTCATCCGTGCAATCTGATATTAATGAGATAAGCGAAAAGTTATAAAAACTCATTGTTTATTGTAAAGAAAATAAAGAGAGACATCCTTGTTTAGATTTATTTTAATATTTTGACATTTTAAAATCTTTGAATTCTTAAAGAGTAGGTTTAGATGAAGCAAACAAGCACATTGCTATGCAAATTATTGAGAAAATAGTTGAAGTTGCTAAATTTGGAGCTGGATTTGTCAGTATTGCAGGTGCTATCAAAAATTTAACAGAAATCGATTTCAAAAAGCTGAAAGGTTTCATAGATGATATAAAAAAGATAGCAGAAAAATTAACTTCTGATACTGCTATAGGGTCAATTAAGTAAGGGCTAGGTGTTTATTCTAATTACAATAGCAATAATATATCCAACAATATGTTATCTTTATGGCTAAAAAAGGTTTAATACATGGGAGAGAATCTTTCAGATCAGATTTTAGAAATTATTTTCTACTTGGAAGAGTGCGATAAAATTAAAAATAATGATACTCGATTATTTGTTTATATGCAATTGAACTATTTGTTGTCAAAGTAGTAAATAAAGGATAATTTTGAAGAACTTCGTTAGAAATTAGAAGAACAGAATAAGAGAGAACTTATTATCAATTAATAGAAGTTTTTATAGGTGGAAGAGTATTCTGATGGAATTATTGATTAGCTTAAGAGTGTAGCTAATTTAATAGCATAGAGTCATTAATTTAGATACATAAAAGCTTAATTACTTCTACATTTTGCTTAAATCTTATCAGTCTAAAGCTAAAACGAATTTAAAGACATGATGAATAATATCATCTCAAATTATTTAATGGAGAAATAAAAATCTGTTAAGATTGTCAACGAATATAATTAAGTTATGGCTGAGTTTATTGATAATTAACTTGATAAAACTCAAATTTTGAATCAAATTAGTTAGCAGAAGTAATAAATGACTAAGCATTTAGATGATAAGTCAGACTTCGATAACTTCGCATATGATATTTAGAATGAAAAAGATTTAGACAAACAATTAGCTAAATATTTTGTTTAAATTTGGGAATAAAGTGTCAAGTAAAGATAGAAAAATCTCGAAATAACCCACAAAGATGATGCTTTGCTCGAAGCTATTCATTTGTATATTAATTAATAGATTACATATTAAGATGGCTATAATTTAAAAACAGATGAAAAAGATGCAGTGAAATAAATTTTTGATTATTTCCTTACCCCTAACTTTGTATTTTCTTAAGAAGAAACAAAAGCTAATGACTAAGCTAATTAAACATCAACATGTAAAATCATATCAATTTTGGCAGAAGGAGGTTCTGGAAAGTCGATGCTCTTGAAAAAAATTGAAGTAGAACTTCTCAATGATAATTCAAAATATAAAAGTGACAATAGAACTGATTTCATACCATTTTTAATTAAATGCAACTCGTTAGATAAAGAAAAACCTTCAATTGAAGATTACTTAGAATCTTTAAACATAAAGAGAAAAGACATCGATAATTTAAAGAAATCTGAGAGAAATAAACTAATCATGCTTGATGGCTATGATGAATATACAGGTGATTATTTTAAGGTTTACCAAAAGTTAAATCTTAACGAATGGGTGAATACTCTAGTCATTGTGACTTCTAGATTAGAAAAAATTACAATTTCTGATGCTAAAGTCTACTTTAATTACTATGACAATTAAGGAAACAAAGGTCATAGTGATTCATATGGAATCTTCAAACTGGAAAAAATAACAAATCAAGACATTGAAGATTACTTAGAGAAGTATAAAAACTAACAATAATCAGAAAATTAAGTAGATTTTGATTTAGAATAGCATGAAAAACTTAAAAAAATTATATTTAGTAATAATTAACTAACTGAATTGCTAAAATTACCAATTAATTTATATCTCACAACAAGAATGATTTCAGATATTGACCTAAATGACGAAAGAACTTTGAACACTTTCCAGCAAGCTTCAGACCAAATTCACATTTAGGAGTTATTTTTCTCTTAGTAATTCAAAAAATAAGCTCAAATATTCGTTCAATAAAAAAAATACCTTACATTAAACGAAAAACAAAGATAAACTATAGCAGAAAAGGTAGAATCTTGCTACTTTGAATATTTCTAATCTATAGCAATGCATATGTTTATTTAAAAGGGCTAAAAATCAAATTTTCTTTCAACAACTAGAGACTAGATTAAATTTTAACCTAGAGAAGAAGTATCACTTGTCTTTAAATAAAATAAAATAGATGAAAATGAAATCATTTAAAAATTAATAAATTATGTTGATTCTAGAGTTATTACGAGAATTTAATTGAAACTTGAAGGTAAAAACAGTAAAAATCAACATAAAGAAAGTTAAACTTTTGTGGATAAATACAAAGTTGAAGAAATTTAATCATAAGAATTCGAGTTTAGACATAAATCTCTTTTTGAATTCTTTGCTGCTAGAGCCATTAAGTATGATTTTGACCTACATAAAGAAAACATCTTTAATTTAGACATTTCCAAATTGAAACAATTCAACATTAACAAGAGAATCATCATGAGCAGTGAAAAAAATGCATCAGAACAACAAATTCTTTTAAAACTTTATAAACTTATGAAATCTGATATTCAATCATAATTTTTCTACTAAACATATAGCTAAGAAGATATATCTAAGACAAATAAATACATTTAATACTTAAAGAAGTCGAAAATTTCTAAAACCACTGAAAAGAGCTAAATAGATATTGGAGCTTCTAATCTATTGTCAGCTCTGTTTCTTTCTAAATTTTTATATCCAAATTTGATTTTAAATAAATGTTCATTTTCCTTAGCATATATTACTTCTTAATCTCAAATGCTAGCTGAGTTTTAGGATTGTAATCTAAGCGACTCTTTAATTGAAGATCAAAACTTAGAATATTATGAAAGTTCAAACACGAAAAATACAATATTTGGTGGTTTCTAAAAATAAATGGACTCAGATAACATTTATTAATTTAACAAAGCAATACTATCAAAAAATAATCTTGTATCTATCACTGAGAGTGGCTTTATTAATAAATTTGAGATAGGTGAAAATAATTCTCAATAATTATTATCAAAGCAGATTACTAATACCCCATTGAAAAATATTTATTACGAAAGCGCAAAAAATATTTTTGTTACTCATACAAAAAAGTCTCTGTTTGAGATAAATTCCAAAACTTTTGAAATAATTTCCTCTTTCACATTCGCATCTCATATATCGTGTTTATCAATTAATAAATAGTAATACTTTGTTAATTTAATAAACAATTAAATATTTTAAGGGGATTTTTAAAAAGGATTCACGCTTTTAGACTAAAACAAAATTCAAGCTGAATCGTCTATTTCCTTAAAGGATATAATAATCACTTCTAAAAATTAAGTAATCAATGTTTATAATTCACAAAGTCTTTAAATTATAAAGACAATTTAAAATTACCATTCTGATCTGACAATATCCTCAATTTCTACTGATGGAAAGTATCTAGCAACTATATCAGAAGAAAAAAATTGCATAATTTTCAATTTAGAAAATGAATTCGATATCTTAAAAACTATCTAAACTGAACACACCAGACCCATAACCTCAGTTGCCTTTTCTGAAAATGGAAAATATCTAGCAACAAGCTCAAGTGATAATCATTGCAAAATCTGGAATGCGAAAGAGGGATTTGCACTCTTGCATGCTATTCAAACAGAATATATAAAAATACATTCAGTGACTTTTTCTACTGATGGAAGATATCTCATAGCTTGTTCAGCTGATAAAACTTGCAAAATATGGGACTCATAATAAGAATTCAAACTAGTAAATAAGATCGAAGGACATACTTAGAAGATTTCCTCAGTTGCCTTTTCTCCCAACGATTAGTATATAGCATCTGGTTCTGATGATAACACTTGCAAAATTTGGAGTATAAAAAATGGTTTAGAGCTAGTAAATAAAATTGAAGGACATACTAGTCCTGTTACCTAAGTAACTTTTTCTCGAGATAGTAAATATTTAGCAACAGCTTCAGAAGATTAAACATGCAAAATTTGGAATATTGAAAAAGGATTCTCACTGCATCACACACTTGAAGGAAATAATTCTGCAATTTTGTCAGTTACATTTTCTGCAGATAGCAAGTATTTAGCTACAGCTTCCTTTAACAGTCTTTGCATAATTTGGGATGTAGATAAAGGATTCTAGCTTCTTCATTCAATTAATGCACATGATTAAAAAAAAATCTTCTCAGTTGCTTTTTCTTTTGATGGTAAATTAATTGCAACAGGTTCTGAAGATTAAACTTGCAAAGTATGGAACATAGAAGATGGATTTAAATTAATATAAACACTTAAAGGACATACTTATTGGATTTCTTAAGTGGCTTTTTCTCCAAATGGCAAATATCTCGCAACTAGCTCTTAAGATGATACCTTTAAGATTTGGAATGTTGAAAAAGGATATGAACTTATAGATACAATTAAAGCACATATATATTCAGTTTTCTCTGTTGTATTTTCTGCAAATAGTAAATACCTTGCATCATCTTCAGCTGATGCAACATGTAAGATTTGGGATGTAGAAAAGGGATTCTAACTAGTTAATATCATCCAACATACAAAACAAATTTATTCAGCTGCTTTTAGTCAAGATGCAAAGTAACTCGTTACAGGCTCTGGTGATACCACTTGTAAGATTTGGAATTTAGAAAAAGGATTTGAGCTCATAAAGATGGATGAAAAACACAGTTATGTAATTTCCTCAGTTGCTTTTTCCCCTGATGGTAAGCTTCTCGCAACTACAGATGAAAGGTTTTATAAAATATGGAGTACAGAAAGAGGATTTGAACTTATAAATAAGATTGAAGCCCATACACTTTCTATTAATTGTCTTGCTTTCACTCCAGATGGTAATTATTTACTAACTAATTCAACTGACAAAACATGTAAAGTCTGGAGCGTACATAAAGGATTTAAATTCCTACATAATATTTAAGGTAACACTTAATTAATTATAACAATTGCTATTTCCCCCGATAACATGTTTCTTGCCGCAAGTTCAACTGATTAAACTTTTAAAATATGGAACATATAAAAGGAATTTTAGCTTATTACTACATTTGAAGGATTTGAACATTTTGTTTCATCTTTATATTTTTCACCAGATGGCAGATATCTCGCCGCTTCATATGGCAATACTTGTAAAATATATGATGTAAATGAAAAATTTGAGTTAATACACACTATTTAAGCACATAGCTAATATGTTAAACAACTCACTTTTTCTAATGATGGCAAGTATCTTGCAACTTGTTCATCTGACACAACTTGCAAAATCTGGAGTGTAAAAGAATAATTTAATCTCTTGAACACTATATAAGGACATACTTAAGTAGTTACCCATATTATTTTTTCTGCAGATAGCAAATATCTTGCTACTGCATCTTATGACAAAACTTGTAAAATCTGGAATACTGAAAATGGATTTTCCCTAATATGCACATTTTAGGGTCATGCTTAAAATATTTCATCAATGGCATTTTCTTATGATAACAAGTATTTAGCAACAGGTTCAATTGATATGACCTGTAGAATCTTGAATGTACAAAAAGAATTTGAAGTAATGAATATAAATGAATTATAGGAGAGCGAAATTAAATCAACTACTGTTTCTTAAGTTAATAATTAATTAAGTAACAGTCTTTTAGATAAACTAGCTAAAAATAATAAAATTTTCTAATAAATTTATTGCTTATGATTAAACGTTCTAAAATAAAATATTGATTTCGATAATTCAAAATGATAAAATTATATTTAATTATCTTGCTTTTTATCCCTTTTAAGTATAATATATTTTTTTATGTAAATTTTGTACTTCTTTTATGAAACATCAAATGAATTTTTTTTAAATGGATAAATGTTAAAAAATAAATAATTTAAATTTAATAAAAAGTCTTAAAAAAATATTTACATTTTAAGAAAAAAATAACATCATCAGATAATCAGTTTCTCAAAAACATTTTTTTTAAATTTTCTTAGTTTTATTAAATTTGTTTATGTCTATGGGTCAAACTTCACTTGACGCACTGTATATTAGCAAATAAATTATATCTATTTTATTTATTATGTTTTTTATCTATTATGTATTTATTTATTTTTTAGTTTTTGATTAAGTAAAATAAAATAGTTTTTTTCATATTTCTATACCAAAATTTTGCAAATTTTGATGAATTTAATTAATAAAGATAACTGAGACATAACCTCAATGATATTGCCATATTTTTAATATAAAGATTATTTAATTAGATTTCATTAAATTAATAGCCAAAGACAATAAGTAGACAAAGTAGAAATAGAGAAAAATGAGAGCAAAATTAGTAAGATTAAGTGCTAAAAATTTGAATAAAATGAGCAAATGTATTTAAAAGTTAAATAAAAGCACAAATGTGTTGAAAATCAAAATGAGTTTCAAAAAAATTCATTTTATTTAGGTGTAAGAAGAAGTTATAAGTGGGCATATTTTTCGCCATCTTCAAAAACTTAATTATGATGAAACTATAAAGCATTTGTTAAAGCTGAATTAATTCATTGAAATATTATCCACAGAAATTTTAAAATATTTAGATCTTTCTTCTTACCGAGGGACACGCTAATTCTAAAAGATTTAGATTAGAACATAGTTAAAGGGGTTTATTCAAAAAAAAATAAATCCTCATATTATGGAAGATATGTTAGAAAAGTATTAAGAACTTTTCGCTCACAAATACCTCTTAAATGAATGGCGTATTTAAAAAAGAGCTTTATTAAATAGCTTGAGAGATAAAATTTGTCAATCTTATTAAGAAAAAATAACTTCAGGATAACCATCTAGTTTATTTCTATAAAAACTAGTACAAAAGAGTAAAATAAGCAACCAAACAAAAGCACAAAATGAATAGAATCCTTAGAAAAAGATTTAACTTTCAAAAAGTTAAGATTCCTATCTCAATGATAAAGAAAATATAAAAAAAGCGGAGTGCATTTCTTTGTTGAATAATAATTCGTTTTAGAATGACTCAAAGGAATATTTAAGAGAGAGAATTGTATGTTAACAATAATGCATTCAAATATTAGAGCTTCTTATGGAGTAAAAACCATAAAAATAGCAATAAGACCTTGGAAACAATTGCAAATTGTATTCAATTATAAAAGAAATATCAAAAATCTAAATACTTTAATTAAAAGGAAAATATTTAAATAATAATATTAACAAAGCAAATTATTAAACTAACATTTCCTTAACTTAAATTTAAAGACAGAATTTGCTTAATTTAATTTACAAAAATTAAATAAACTAATTCAATAGAAAATTAATTCATATAGTTGAAAATTAATTGAGTTTTTCATAATTCAGCAGATTAAAAATTGAAAAGTCAATCAATAATGGAAGAAATAAATTATTAGAAGAAAAAACATATCATACTCTAAATGCAAACAATAATTTAACAAACAAGAAACATTTTTATTTCCCATTTCGAAATGAATTTAATAGGGAAAGCAATAAAGTATCAAATAAATTTATTGTATAATCTAGCGAAAACAAATTAAGCTAGGCATAATAACAAAATTTGGTCTAAACACATTTCAATCAAATGAAAGTTGATTCACATGAAAAAAGGACTTCTAATAAAACTTGTATTTAGCAATAAATCAATAGATATGCTGAAATTTAATAAAATGTTAGCTTTTATAATTGTGATAATAAGTAGCTTAAAGTATTATAAGAATTAAAACTCTAAACATATATATAATACTTCAAGTTTAAATACAATAATTAGCTTAAATGTCAAGATATGCATAGCTATGCTTAGAAGAATAAAATTTTAGGTGGAGGTGTCTGTTGTAGTAAATAAAGAGTAATTGTTGTGGATCCAGCTTCGTATTAACTAATAAAAAAATAAATCAAGCACAAAAGTACAAAAAATTAGAATTAAGATGATAAAATGAAGGAAGAAAAGCGAATTAATAAAAAATTTGAAAAATTTAATAAATCATATAATGAGTTTTTTACCATCAAAGAAGATAGCGATGTAGAAGAAAGCTTAAATGTCTTAGAAACTGAAGTAAGATAGATAATAGAAAAAACATTATATGATTTCAGAGAGTAAATAGTTTTGTAAGAAATTAGACCAAAAGTCATAGACATGATAAATTTACTAATTAACTATTTTCTTATTATTAAATAAAACGATTCTAAGTCATCTGTGCAATCTGATATTAATGAGATAAGCGAAAAGTTATAAAAACTCATTGTTTATTGTAAAGAAAATAAAGAGAGACATCCTTGTTTAGATTTATTTTAATATTTTGACATTTTAAAATCTTTGAATTCTTAAAGAGTAGGTTTAGATCAAGCAAATAAGCACGTCGCTATGCAAATTATTGAGAAAATAGTTGAAGTTGCTAAGTTTGGAGCTGGATTTGTCAGTATTGCAGGCGCTATCTAAAATTTAACAGAAATCGATTTCAATAAACTGAAAGGTTTCATAAATGATATAAGAAATATAGTAGAAAAATTAACTTTTGATGTTTCTGTAGGGTCTATCAACTAAGGGCTTGGTGTTTATTCTAATTATAATAGCAATAATATATCCAACAATATGTTATCTCTATGGCTAAAAAAGGTTTAATATATGGGAGAGAACCTCTCTGATCAGATTTTAGAAATTATTTTCTATTTGGAAGAGTGTGATAAAATTTAAAATAATGACACTAGATTATTTGTTTATATGCAATTGAACTATTTGCTGTCCAAGTAGCAAATAAAGGACAATTATAAAGAACTGCGTTTGAGATTAGAAGAACAGAATAAGATAGAACTTATTATCAGTTAATAGATGTTTTTATAGGTGGAAGAGTATTCTGATGGAATTATTGATTTGCTCAAAAGTGTAGCTAATTTAATAGCATAGAGTCATTAATTTAGATACATAAAAGCTTAATTACTTCTACATTTTGCTTAAATCTTATCAGTCTAACACTAAAACGAATTTAACGACATGATGAATAATATCATCTCAAATTATTTAATGGAGAAATAAAAATCTGTAAAGATTGTCAGCGAATATAATTAAGTCATGGCTGAGTTTATTGATAATTAGCTAGATTAAACACAAGTTTTGAATCAAATTAGTAAGCAAAAAAAATAAATAACTAAGCATTTAGATAAAATATCAGACTTCGATAACTTTGCATATGATATTTAGAATGAAAAAGATTTAGATAAGCAATTAGCTAAATATTTTGTTTAAATTTGGGAATAAAGTGTCAAATAAAGATAGAAAAATCTTGAAATAACGCACAAAGATGATGCTTTACTTTAGGCTATTCACTTGTATGTTAATTAATAGATAACATATTAGGATGGTTATAAATTTAACACACAAGAAAAAGATGCAGTGAAATAAATTTTTGATTATTTCCTCATCCCTAACTTTGTATTTTCTTAAGAAGAAGTAAAAGCAAATGATCAAGCTAATTAAATATCTAAATGTAAAATCATATCGATTTTGGCAGAAGGAGGTTCTGGAAAGTCGATGCTCTTAAAAAAAATTGAAGTCGAAGTTCTCAATGATAATTCAAAATATAAAAGTGACAATAGAACTGATTTCATACCATTTATAATTAAATGCAACTCGCTAGATAAAGAAAAACCTTCAATTGAAGATTATTTAGAATCCTTAAGCACAAAGAGAAAAGACATTGATAATTTAAAGAAATCTGAGAGAAATAAGCTAATCATGCTTGATGGCTATGATGAATATACAGGTGATTATTTTAAGGTTTACGAAAAGTTAAATCTTAACGAATGGGTGAATACCCTAGTTGTTGTGACTTCTAGATTAGAAAAAATATCAATTTCTGATGCTAAAGTATACTTTAATTACTATGATAATTAAGGAAAAAAAGGTCATAGTGATTCATATGGAATCTTCAAACTGGAAAAAATAACAAATTAAGACATTGAAGATTACTTAGAGAAGTATTAAGATTAATAATTATTAGAAAATTAAGAAGATTTTGATTTAGAACAGCATGAAAAACTTAAAAAAATTATATTTAGTAATTATTAACTAACTGAATTGCTAAAGTTGCCAATCAATTTGTATCTAACAACAAGAATGATTTCAGATATTGACCTTAATGATGAAAAAACTTTGAACACTTTCTAGCAAGCTTCAGACTAGATTGTCATTTAAGAATTATTTTTCTCTTAGCAATTCAAAAAATAAGCTCAAATATTCGTTGAATAATAAAAATACCTTACATTAAATGATAAGCAAAGAAAAGATATAGCAGAAATAGTTGAATCTTGCTACTTTGAATATTTCCAATCTGTTGCTATGCATATGTTTATTTAAAAGGGCTAAAAGTCAAACTTTCTTTCAACAACAAGAGAATAGATTAAATTTTAGCCTCGAGAAGAAGTATCTCTTTTCTTATAATAAAATAAAATAGATGAAGATGAAATAATTAAAAAATTAATAAATTATGTTGATTCTAGAGTTATTACGAGAATTTAATTGAAACTTGAAGGAAAAAACACTAAAATGCAGAATAAAGAAAGTTAAACTTAAATGGATTAATATAAAGCTGAAGAAAATGAATCATAAGAATTCGAGTTTAGACATAAATCTCTTTTTGAATACTTTGCTGCTCGAGCCATGAAGTATGATTTTGACCTACATAAAGAAAATATCTTTAAGTTAGATATTTCATAACTATAGCAATTCAACATTAACAAAAGAATCATCATGAGCAGTGAAAAAAATGTATCAGAACAACAAATTCTTTTAAAGCTTTATAAACTTATGTAATCTGATATTCAGTCATAATTTTTCTACTAAACATACAGCTTAGAAGATATATCTAAGACAAATAAATATATTTAATACCTAAATAAATCGAAAATTTCTAAAAAAACTGAAAAGAGCTAAATAGATATTGGAGCTTCTAATCTATTGTCAGCTCTGTTTCTTTCTAAATTCTCATATCCTAATTTGATTTTAAATAAATGTTCGTTTTCATTAGCATACATTTAAGAAAGGCTAGCTGAGTTTTAGGATTGCAACCTAAGTGACTCTTTAATTGAAAATGCAAACATAAAAAAATATAAAAGTTCAAACACGAAGAATGCAATGTTTGGTGGTTTCTAAAAATTAATGGATTCAGATAACATTTATCAATTTAACAAAGCAATACTATCAAAAAATAATCTTGTATCTATCACTGAGAGTGGTTTTATTAATAAATTTGAGATAGGTGAAAATAATTTCAAATAATTATTGTCAAAGCAGATAACTAACAAATCATTGAAAAATATTTATTACGAAAGCACAAAAAGTATTTTTGTTACTCATACAAAAAAGTCTCTGTTTGAGATAAATTCCAAAACTTTTGAAATAATTTCTTCTTTCACATTTGCTTCTCATATATCGTGTTTATCAATTAATAAACAATAATACTTTGTTAATTTAAATAACAATTAAATATTTTAAGGGGATTTTTAAAAAGGATTTACGCTTTTAGATTAAAACAAAATTCAAGCTGAATCGTCTATTTCCTTAAAGTTAAAGGATATAATAATCACTTCTAAAAACAAAGAAATCATTATTTATAATTAATAAAATCTTTAAATTATAAAGAATATTTAAAATTTTCCATCTGATCTTGCAATATCTTCAATTTCTAGTGATGAAAAGTATCTAGCAGCTATATCAGAAGAGAAAAATTGCATAATTTTCAATTTAGAAAATGAATTTGATATCTTAAAAACTATCTAAACTGAACACACTAAACCTATAACCTCAGTTGCCTTTTCTGAGAATGGAAAGTATCTAGCAACAAGTTCAGATGATAATAGTTGCAAAATCTGGAATGTGAAAGAGGGATTTGCACTCTTGAAAACTTTTGACTTAAGATTCATAAGAATACATTCAGTGACTTTTTCTACTGATGGAAGATATCTCATAATTTGCTATGGTAATCGCACTTGCAAAATATTGGACTCAGAATAAGAATTTAAACTAGTAAATAAGATCGAAGGACATACTTAGTAGATTTCCTCAGTTGCCTTTTCTCCCAATGATTAGTATATTGCAACTGGTTCTGATGATAAAACTTGCAAAATTTGGAGTATAAAAAATGGTTTAGAGCTAGTAAATAAAATTGAAGGACATACTAGTCCTGTTACCTAAGTAGCTTTTTCTGGAGATAGTAAATATTTAGCAACAGCTTCAAAAGATTAAACATGCAAAATTTGGAATATTGAAAAAGGATTCTCACTGCATCACACACTTGAAGGAAATAATTCTGCAATTTTGTCAGTTACATTTTCTGCAGATAGCAAGTATTTAGCTACAGCTTCCTTTAACAGTCTTTGCATAATTTGGGATGTAGATAAAGGATTCTAGCTTCTTCATTCAATTAATGCACATGATTAAAAAAAAATCTTCTCAGTTGCTTTTTCTTTTGATGGTAAGTTAATTGCAACAGGTTCTGAAGATACAACTTGCAAAGTATGGAACATTGAAGATGGAATTAAGTTAATAAAAACTATTTAGGCAAGTCAAGGTTGGGTTTAATCAGTGGCTTTTTCTCCAAATGGCAAATATCTCGCAGCTGGCTGTTCAAATAGTCACTTTTATATCTGGAATGTTGAAAAAGGATACGAACTTTTAGATAATAAAAAACATGAATGTAAGGTTAACGCTGTTGTATTTTCTGCAAATAGTTAATACCTTGCAACATCTTCAGCTAATGAGAAATGCATGATTTGGAATGTAGAAGAGGGATTGTAACTCATTAGTATCATCCATCAACCAGAAGATATTTATTCAGTTGCATTTAGTCAAGATTCAAAGTAGCTCGTAACAGGTGGCCGTAATACTTTTATGATTTGGAATTTAGAAAAAGGATTTGAGTTCATAAAGATGGATGAGAAACACAATTTTTATAATACTAAAGTTGCTTTTTCTTCTGATGGTAAGCTTCTCGCAACTACAGATTATAATTTTTACAAAATATGGAGTGCAGAAAGAGGATTTGAGTTAATAAATAAAATTGAAGCCCATACATTTGGTATTACATAGCTTGCTTTCTCTCAAGATGGTAATTATTTAGTAACTATTTCAGTCGATATTTGTAAAGTCTGGAGTATAGAAAAAGGATTTAAATTAATACATTAAATTTAAGGATAAAATTACTTTTTATCGATTGCTATTTCCCCAGATAGCATGTTTCTTGCGATAAGTACAACTTAAGATTATTCTTTAAAAATATGGAACATTTAAAAAAATTTTTAACTTATTACTACAATTAATGACGTTTCATAGTTAAGTTTTTCACCAGATGGCAGATATCTAGCTGCTTCATATAAGAATACTTTTAAAATATTTGATGCAAAAAAAAAATATAAGCTATTACGCACTATTTAAGCACATATCTCAAATGTTTAAAAAATAACTTTTTCTAATGACGGCTAGTATCTTGCAACATGTGGTAGTGGCGCAACTTGCAAAATATGGAGTATAAAACAAAAATTTGAACTAGAAATAACCATAGAAGGAGATAATTTAGAATTTACCAATCTTACTTTTTCTGCAGATAGCAAATATCTTGCTACTGCTTCTAATGACAAAACTTGTAAAATCTGGAATGCAGAACATGAATTTTCACTTATAAGTACATTTAAATCAGATTAATCTATTAAATCAATAGAATTCTCTTCAGATAACAAGTATCTAGCTTTAAGTTCTTTTGAAGGGATTTGTAGAATCTTAAATATACAAAAAGAGTTTGAGATAATGAATTTAAATTAATTATAGATTTGTGAAATTAAATCAACTACTGTTTCTTAGGTTAATAGTTAATTAAATAACAGTATTTTAGAAAAATTAGCTAAAAATAATAAAATTTTCTAATAAATTTATTGCTTTTGATTAAAAATTCTAAAATAAAAAATTGATTTCGATAATCCAAAATGATAAAATTATATTTTATTACCTTTTTTTATATGCTTTATATCCCTTTTTAGTATAATCAATATATATTTCTATGAAAATTTTGTACTTCTTTTATGAAACATCAAATTAATTTTTGCTAAATGCCTAATTAAAATCTAGTGGTATGGAAACATCTAGCTAGATATTAATAAATTAGGCTAGGTTTTTAAATAAAAAATATTCTTTTTAAATAATTTTATAATGTAGAAAAAATGAAAAATATCTGTAATATCCATAAATTTGTTTTTAGATACATTAATACGGTTTATAATTATTAATTAAAAAATTAAATACAACCAAAATATTATTAAACAATTTTGTAATTTTAAAGTGTTGATTAATTAGAATGACAAAAATAAGGCAGAGAGGTTTTTTGACCTTACTGATCTAAAAAAGCCCTGATTGTAAATTCTCTATTTCATAATAAGTGGCATGCAAACCATAAAATTTTTGTATGGCATCTTGCTATATTAGAGATATTATAAATATTCCTAAAATCATTGAACTAAAATAGAAAAATCTACTTATAAACATTATTTTTATAAAATTTAAGAACATCAACTACTAAAATTTTTTCAAATAGGACTAAATAAATAACTGAGCATCTCTAATTCCTACTATATATATTTTTAAGTATATGTTTTAAATACAAATATTAAGTTTAAATAGTGAATTTTAAATTAATTTTTCTGTGATATTTATCTCTTCATAAAACCAAATATATAAATTTATATTTGATAATTAATTAATTATTATATTTATTTGTTCTTTTTATCCATTTATAATTAATTAATTAATTAATCAAATTTCATAAATTGCTATTCAATATTTTTGAAAATAAATAAATGATATAATAGATTAAAAAATATTATAATTTGGAAGAAGTAATTATTAATTTTTTTATTAACAACCTTTTAATTTATTTTAATTAATAAAAAAAGTTTTTAAGCTCTTCACTTTTATCTCATTAGATTCTCCATATTGATCTCAAGTATATTTAATTAAAAGATATTCTTTTTTTTATTATTAATATTTTTTGTATATTTAATTTTCAATTTATTTAAATAAATAATTTTTATAATAGAAATTATCATCATTATTTCATGATTTTATAAAAACAAAAATTTTTTAGCAATTTTAACTTAATTTTCATTTCAATTTTTAATTAATTATTTATTATTCATTTTTTATTATTTGATACTTTTTCTTCATTTTTTGCTATTAAAACTTACACTTAATAAAAGTAGTTTTTTGATTTGCATTGTAATATTTTTAATTATAAAAGTTAATTTAAAACATTAAAACTCTTTTAATTTATTTGATTTGATTTGATTTGTTTTCCTTTTTCTTTTTATTATAATTTTCTTATTTTTTGATTCTTTGTTAATTTTATTTATTATTAATTAATCTTATTATTTCATATTTTTTCTTCATTTTTCCCTCCTAATTAAATAGACTGAAATGCATATTTAATTTATAAAAGGCAAAATGTAATATATCTTAATAACTTAATATAAATCTAAATTAGCTTAAAATAGCTTTATTTTTGAGTTTATAGAAAGCTTTAAATTCAGAAAATGTTAAATTTGAAATTATATATACCATACATTCTTATAACATATCATTTTTTTTGAAAAATAGAAATTTTGAAAACCTAGGATGGAAAAAACACATAAAAAATATTTAAAATTTTAATTTTATAAAATATAAAAATGGTATATTAAACTCTCTTTTTGTAAGTTTGTATGGCAACTAACTTACTCTATTTAATGATATATTTTTTCTTCAATATTTAAAAAGTGGAAATTAAATTGGTGATGAAGGTGCATCAGGCTTAGGTTCAGCTTTAGCAAAATGCATTAATCTCTCAAATTTGACACTTAATCTTGAGTAAAAACAGTTTATTTGTTTTGGATTGTGATATTTTTAATTATAAAAATAAATTAAAAACAATAAAGCTCTTTTTTCTTTTTCTTTTTATCGTGCTTGCTTTTTTTTGTTTTTTGTTTGTTAATTAAGCTCATCATTTATTTTAAGCATTTGCTTTTATTATTAATTAATCTTATTATTTCATATTTTTTCTTCATTTTTCCATCTAATTAACTATTTAATGATATATTTTTTCTTCAATATTTAAAAAGTGGAAATTAAATTGATGATGAATGTGCATCAGGCTTAGGTTCTGCTTTAGCAAATTGCATTAATCTCTCAAATTTGACACTTAACCTTAAGTAAAAACAGTTTATTTGTTTTGGATTGTGATATTTTTAATTATAAAAACTAATTAAAAACAATAAAGCTCTTTTTTCTTTTTCTTTTTATCGTGCTTGCTTTTTTTTATTTTTTGTTTGTTAATTAAGCTCATCATTTTATTTTAAACTTTTGCTTTTATTATTAATTAATCTTATTATTTCATATTTTTTCTTCATTTTTTCCTTCTAATTAACTATTTAATGATATATTTTTTCTTCAATATTTAAAAAGTGGAAATTAAATTGGTGCTACGGGTGCATCAGGCTTAGGTTCAGCTTTAGCAAATTGCATTAATCTCTCAAATTTGACACTTGATCTTTTGTAAAAACAGTTTATTTGTTTTTGGATTTTGATATTTTTAATTACAAAAAATAATTAAAAATAATAAAGCTCTTTTTTCTTTTTCTTTTTATCGTGCTTGCTTTTTTTTGTTTTTTGTTTGTTAATTAAGCTCATCATTTTATTTTAAACTTTTGCTTTTATTATTAATTAATCTTATTATTTCATATTTTTTCTTCATTTTTTCCTTCTAATTAACTATTTAATGATATATTTTTTCATCAATATTTAAAAAGTGGAAATTAAATTGGTGGTGAAGGTGCATCAGGCTTAGGTTCAGCTTTAGCAAAATGCATTAATCTCTCAAATTTGACACTTAATCTTGAGTAAAAACAGTTTTTTTGCTTTGGATTGTGATATTTTTAATTATAAAAACTAATTAAAAACAATAAAGCTCTTTTTTATTTTTCTTTTTATCGTGCTTGCTTTTTTTGTTTTTTATTTGTTAATTAAGCTCATTATTTATTTTAAACTTTTGCTTTTATTATTAATTAATCTTATTATTTCATATTTTTTCTTCATTTTTTCCTTCTAATTAACTATTTAATGATATATTTTTTCATCAATATTTAAAAAGTTACAATTATATTGGTGATGAAGGTGCATCAGGTTTAGGTTCAGCTTTAGCAAAATGCATTAATCTCTCAAATTTGACACTTGATCTTTAGTAAAAACAGTTTATTTGTTTTGGATTGTGATATTTTTAATTATTAAAACTAATTAAAAACAATAAAGCTCTTTTTTCTTTTTCTTTTTATCGTGCTTGCTTTTTTTTGTTTTTTCTTTGTTAATTAAGCTCATCATTTATTTTAAACTTTTGCTTTTATTATTAATTAATCTTATTATTTCATATTTTTTCTTCATTTTTTCCTTCTAATTAACTATTTAATGAAATATTTTTTCTTCAATATTTAAAAAGTGAAAATTACATTGGTGATGAAGGTGCATCAGGCTTAGGTTCTGGTTTAGCAAAGTGCATTAATCTTTCAAATTTGAAACTTGACCTTATGTAAAAACACTTTATTTGTTTTGGATTGTGATATTTTAAACTATAAAAATGAATATAAAACAAAAGAGCTCTTTGAATTTATTTGATAACTTTTATTTGATTTATTATTTTATCTTTTTTATTGCACTAATATTATTTTA